AGCTCAACAGCTAGTTTGATAAGAAACATATCAAAGCAAGTGACCCAAATCTAATTCGATCCCACTTCACTAAATTGCAGCATCTCCGGCGCCTATATAATATCCTTGATAGGCACACATATAATATGGATAAGAAAGGATTTCGCCAAGGTATTTCAGATCGTGCTAAAGTCATTTGCCTCTATCGGGATAGAGATATGACTGGAAAGCTAGCTACAGATAGCAATCGAGAGATGATAACAGTAGTAGAAGCAATATCTGGAAGTGGGAATATATTGCCTCTGCTGGTTATTTATAAAGGTGCAGGACACTATATGGGATGGTATTAATTTCTAAAATCCCTTGAGATTGACTGTGATAACTAGAAGTTTAGCTATTCTAAAAAAGGTTGGACAAGTCAGTCACTTGGACTTAGTTGGATTCAACATTTCTATAAAGTGACAAAAGGTTCAATTAAGGTAGAAGAATATTGGATGTTAATTGTAGATGGTCATGGCTCATATATAAGTATTGAATTCATTGAATTCTACTTAACTGTTAATATTATTGCATATTGTTTACCACCACACTCAACCCACCTCCTCCAACCACTCGATGTCAGTTTGTTTTCTCCTCTCCAGAAGGCATATGGGAAACAGGTGGATCATCTGTTCAATTTGGAAATGTTATGATCAACAAAGGGAATTTCTTACCTATGCTTGTGGCTGCTCGTAAGGCTACCTATACACTAAAAAATATCCTTAATGCCTGGCATGGTGTAGGCCTCATCCCACATAACCCATGGTATGTCTTAGACAAACTCACGCTATACAGGTACTTCTCGTCCTAGCGGAGAGAACATACACTATGTGACCGAGTAATCGAGAGCTTTCAAATGAGCAAAGTGGAGCCCATAATGGTGGGAATAAGGCGAGGTGAGGATCTCAAAAGAGTGGAAGTATATTTCTTTTGTCCATACGAGAAGCCTGTCTCGTATTGAAAGAGAAAGTCGTGATATCTCAAAAAATCATCCCATATCGCTATTGTAAGGGAGAGTTCTCCAAAATCGCAGAATCCCCCCATATCGCTATTGTTAGGGAGAGTTCTCTAAAATCGCAGAATCCCCCCAAAAGTGAACGTAATCCTTCTCTTAAAGAAAGCGCTGAACATCATTCTGACGTTAACTAATGTCAGAGCAAGTACTATACAGCCAAAAACGTCATCTCAAGCACTAATATATGCTACTCGACTTAGCGAAAACCCAACTTATCAAGCAAGAAAATCTCCGTTCCCACCATAACGCTCGGACCGAAGATCTCTACCAAAGTGACTAAAGCACCCCCACCTAATCCAGTTGAGCCTCCAACCCCCCGAAATACTACAGAGATCCATAGAAAGGTTCGACAAGCAACACTTCAGTTACGATCTCAAGATTCTGAATTATCTCGTGCAGAATTATTAGATCTTATTCACTAGTTGGAAAAGTTTGCACTTGCGGCAGATCAGGATCGGGCACTAGAGCATGCGACATTTCTCTAGTGGAAGGAGGCACAGAACCTAAATGCGAAGCCTGATCAACAGCAGTTGGGTCGCAGAGGAGGCACTGTTATGGATGGCAAGTTTTTGAAGTAGCTTTATGAAGAGCGGGAGGAAGCAGAACGAAAGAAGCGTGAAAAGCGTGAAAAGCAAGCAAATAAGACCATCCGGGTAGGTTCAAGGAAGAAAGCAGGTCCACAAACTCTGAAGCAGAAGGGCGGAAAGGGTAAGCGGGTTTCTTTTGTATCTCTTAGTGCGTTTGAGTCTGGATTGGAGAATATGGGTTGGAGCGGGGATGAGCTGGAAGGCTGGGAAAGCGAGGATGATATTGTATCTATTGGGTCGTCAAGTTCCATTTTATCCACCATTACACTGGCTACACCAGCCCCTGCATATTCAGATATACCCCATACACCCCCTTCCCCTACCCCAGGGCCTTCGCGCACCTCGTTTGAGGCCTCAGGGTGTCGTGTAACTAGATCTCGTACCTCCCGGGAATAGCCGAAAATATGATCCACTTGCACGTGATGATCTGCTAGCCGTTATATCTACATACCGGGCCTCACATTATTATGGTCTTCCTGAATTCACGCCTCCAGATATATTTATCACCAACAGTGGCTTAATTACCGCTACCATTATCGCCCATAGAGCACAAGTCTCGACGGTCTCTCACAGGCTAGAGCAATCGCAACATTGACCAAGCTCCTTTCTCGTTCACCTGCCAATCCATTGTATTAATGTCCTCTGATACGGTATTGAATTTATCTTCTCGCACATGTCAGAATATCTACAAGCACCTCCTAAAGATGCCCTGTCTATGGGTGTTCTTATAATGAAACATAACAAGGCAGGTCTACTTCTGTTGACCATATCAAAGGACACAGAAAACCCTATGTTTGCTATGTGTTGAATTGCGAAATGAAATTTACTATTGGTTACCGTGCAAACAGCTACGACTGCTGACTATACTACACTTCACAGGAAATATAGAATGAGTGTCCATAAGGTCATATGCCTCATATATCAACTTTTTTATCCATATGTACTTAAATTCTCAGTCAATTCTGCCCCCTTTCATGTATCTTTGTTTTCCTTAAACTGGTATTCCATTTCACTAAATCTGTTTGTTTTCCTCAAACTGGTATTCCATTTCATAAATCTGTTTGTTACCCTCAAACTGGTACTTGTAGATTCTTGTGTTTTTAGTATAAAACAAAAGGGGCATGCAACCAACACCTGGCTACAGTGGAGTCCCGTTATAAGAAACAGTGCTCCGGTCCGGCCAGAATTTGTATGGGAAACTAAGAAACCCTCGTTACTAGCAGGTTCCTTAAGTATTTGCTTAGAAATACATATAAAATCGTGAGTTTCTTATAACGAGTTGATCCGCAGATATTACCCCGCTGTAGCAACCGTATTGTGCGAATTGTTTTATTACTAGTACAAATTCAACTGCAACATCTGGGGACTTATTTTACACATCTATACCTAGCAATTTTCAATTGTGATTTTGTTACTCTCCTACAAGTCCTCTATACCCGATGCCACATAAGGACATTCAAACTCGCCAGGCATGGAGTCAAAAGGAGCGGCGTGATATCCGCAATCAACATACACTTCATCCTGGCCGTAGCTATCAAGAGATAGAGCAGTGGTTCAATACAAAATATGCATCTAAGACTATTAGCAAATCTCAAGGCTCTTCTATATAGAGAGAAGCGGGATATTGAGGGGTTACAAGGCATGGCGTGAGGCGGAAAACAGCAAACATCAATTAATGATTTTTTGGGGTCTCGCTCGGACATTTCTTAATCTTTTATGTATATATCCCGATATAAGAAACCTCCCGTTATAAGAAACTCCCGGTCGGTCCTGAGGGGGTTTCTTATAACGGGACTGCACTGTAGTTTCAAACATTACTATTTGTTATATACAATTTCAAACTGCATAAGAAAGAAAAAAAAGATAGAAACGCTGCTGGACGGAATTGAACCGTACACTCTCCCAGGTCTGAACTCTGGCCTGATACCACTATACCTACCACAGCAATGATTGAGGGCAGCCCGGAAGCTTATAAAAGAGCTTCCAAAGCAGTACTGAACAACGCTTTTAGGTATCACGTTTAATAGTATCCATTGTCAAAGCACCAACAGCTCGACTTGCCTGATGATCTTATCTTCAATTTCCAGCGACTCGATTCAGTGACTTGATGTGAAAGAATGATGGTATACTTTGTCCAGTGTTGAAGAGCCGTAACATTGACAGTAACGTATCACCCATTATTAGTCTGGTTGGCACAAGCCCTCCAATTATGCAACTAAGACATGTATTGGACAATGTGCAAGAAAAAACATCTGATTCTCTATCTATTCAAAAAAGCAGGGTATGCCGCTGGATGGGTTCGAACTATCGTCCTCACAGGGCCTGAACCTGTGTGTGTTCATCACCAGCAGCGTTTATTGTAATTGGTGATTAAGCTCTAGTCTTTGACTGTTGCGATAGAAGCTTTTGCCGGTTGACTTTTCCTTTTATATATATAAATATTAATGTTTTTAAAAAACGTGCCAGAGTGTTAACCTTACCGACGTTTGCCGAGGGCGGTGACCCGTATTGCGCAAAGGGGCAGCCGAGTCTACCCTGAGGAAGTGATATTGAAACCTTGATATCTTGTGTTGAATCCTTAATTGAAATACAACAGTGCTCAGGGTGCCATGGAAATAGATGATCAGTATCCCCACTAAGTACAACTGCCAAAGTTGCTCTTTCTTGGTATCTTGTACCATTTGCGCAAATATCTCGCTGCAATTGCCAATTCTTACTCATTTTCATTTTATTTCTTTTTCTAGGTACTTATTACTCCTATTTGCATAGGAGTACTAAGTATTTAAAAAAAAAAAAAATATTACTCCTATTCGGTCTCAATAAGGAGACCATGAGGAGCCACCCGGAATCCCGGGTGGATTTAGGAAAAGGTTTTAATACTCATTACTCACATGTGGTCCCAGTAAGGAAAGGGCCGATGGTGAGCCACCCGGGAAACCCAGGTGGATTCAGGATGAGGTATGTTAATCTGCCGGTCCGGCTGATATACACAAGGTATGACAAGAGAAAAGAGTGAAAAATCTGATGGAGGAAACGGCGGAGGGCATTCGGAAAAACTAACTGAATAATAGTGAAAATCTCACTTAGACATGCGTGAGAAATAGCATTGTTGACCAACTATCTAAAAAAAGAAGTAAAAGGAGAAAAAATACTTGTTGTGATTGCCAAAGGTGGTCGCAATAAGATAGATAGTTATCTTCTGTCAGCGTCAGCTGCAAGTCTAGAGTTTGGATGTGTACTGTATTAAATAACAAATGAAGACCCACTGACTATGATGGAGCATACGTCAACCGTTAGATGCAAAAAGCTGTAGTCTTGGAACCAAGACCAGTGCTTAAAACGAAAATCCATGTGATCCTGGGACCTTCAAAAGAATCGTACGTTGCTGGATGGGTTCGAACCGTCCTCACAGGTCTGAACCTGAGTTTGTTGACCACTACACCACAGCAGCTAGCGTTGTAGGGGGGGATTAGGTCTGGCTTATGGACGGCAGGCCATTATGTCCCCGATTAGTCCTAGGGTGACAACAAACTGCCATTTGATTCAGCGAGGAATCACAAACCGAGCTCAAGCGTAGAATTAACTCAGGGGTGCCCTCGCTCATTCCTTATGGTCTCATGACGACCAAATGATCATCCATCCTGGGTTCCACGCTCGCATTGAGCCATATAAAAAACCAGAGTTACGTCCGGCTTGGATGAAGATGGCAACTATAGGTATTAAGGTGGACCATACACGGCGGTCCTCAGTGTTCTTCCATAGAAGACATAGAAGAACGTTTTGACTCCTGGGTCAACATGACACCTGCGCCCTGATGGACCATGATGACCAGAAACCAGTCTAAATGCTCACTGGTTTGAGAGTTTTTTGCGGTCAATTATCGAAGGTATGTTCGTGCATATACATACCAACATCTAGCATATCGCCAATCAATGACATAAATCCATTAAGCTATTGAAAAGTTACTGAGCGAGTGGTATCGCTGGGTACTGAATGGAGGATGCAGCGGTGGACTCTTAGTGCAGTGAAGCAGGGTGAGAACGTACGAGTGTATGAGAACATGCGAGAGGGATGTTCGGTCAAGAGTAGACAGTCATATTGAGTCTATCTAGAGAAGCATATCATTTATACATGAGTGTCCTGAGAGGTCGTATATGTAGATATGAGATCAGGGTAAGAACAATCCAAGCTGAACAGCCTAGTAGATGCAATACCGTAAGTATGCGCAAGCATTATGCCTGATGCGTAAGAACATGCGAAAGCACATGCGGATATTGATACATAAACTAGTAAGCGAAGAAAGTGAATAAATGTGAACAGCAAGCATGAACACACGTGGAGAAGAAGAAATAACACGGAGATCCTCTTAGCAGTACAGAGGTCTCTCGATACAAGCATACCATATTTTGGATACAAGAATATTCTTATTTTTTCCGCTTAGTCACCATACATATGCCTGTATCGAGAGAAGCGCTAAATCACAAATAGGTTCTTATTGATAAGAAATTACCCCGCAGAATTGCATCTCCTGAGACAATCTTAATGCAATAACAACTGAATCCTATGATCGAGGGTCGCTCAATCTTGAACGAATATTTTCGGCTTAGAACGTCGATTAAGTATAATTTTCAATGTAATCGCTTGATTATTTTAAGATTGAATACCCCTATTCGTACTTATTGACTTACGAGGAACTTCAAGAGATGCTATGGTTTCGGGATCTGGGGAATATCGGCATTGGGATGGGAGTACCATTACAATCATCGTGGTGGACATAGACAAAACGGAAGTCAAAAACATCTACAACACCAGGGATTCCCGCATGGTCACCCACTGCAGTACTAGCCTGGCGATCTGAAGCTTAGATATGGCAGAGCGGACGGGATGCCTCGTTTTCTTCAGTCTATGGTCGTAGCTATCAAATGATGATGCACTCTCGATTTCATGTCACCTGTTCACTGTCAAATTAGCTTACTTGGTTTTGTATCAGACCGAGTGATCCGATGATGTATACATACTGACTGTGAAAACAATGGCCTCTTCTTCCAAATCTTCGGTTGTCCAACAGCATCAGGCATGGACGGAGCTTGACCGGTTACACCTCAGGGTAGCGCCCGCGCATATTGAAGGATTACTCCCCTTTTCTCTTCAAGCTGAACCTACAGCCAATATCAGGGACCTACAAGATGTTCTACAGCGTGAGGAGAAAAGTATTGAGACTCTAGAAATTCAATGCAGGCGTCTGCATGTTCAGCGCAGGATCGCTGACTTTCTGGTGCCTCCTCTCCTTGACATTCCCGCCTCCACACCCACTACTCTCGTTTGGATATTTCTTGTTTACATGCTCTGCTTGGATTCATAAGCCTATTCCACAACATTTCCTAGCGCTAGTTAACTTCATTTTATAGTTACCTATTTTCTCTTGTTATAAGCATATATTGGTTACAAGCATACTTCTCCCGGTCCGAACGATATGCTTGTATCGAGAGCCCTCTGTAGCAAGTGCTTGCTATAGGTAGCAGCAATACATATGTAGCGGAGAGACTTGACTGTATGCGTAAGGAAATTGTTATTTTCAACATAAGCGAGTTATGCTTTGGCACATTCACATATGCAAATCCCCGCTTTGAACCATCAGCGAAGTGTTCTTTAGACGAGGAAGTTTTGGATATTGGTCACCAAGACGTTAGTTTGATTGAAGGAAATCCATCTTGAAAAGGTGAACTGAGCGTTGGAATACGTCATCCCTTATAATGGGAAGTACTGAAGGAGAATAGAGGAACACACTCTCAGAATAAAACTCCACTCACAACCACCGGTGAGGAGATCTGAACAATGTGTATATCATATTCTTCTGAACCTCTACGGTGTATCTATGAAGAAGACAAGAACAAGACGAGGCCATTATATAGATCAAAACCACCTGGGTGCCAAGCCCGACATATTCCCTTTTCGAGCAATTCACAATTCTAAGCGCGTCAGATCACTCCAGTTTTCCTCGCCATGGTTCACCAAGCTCCAACACGGGGAAACATAAAAGGAAAAATCACCACAACGAGCGCAATATCAACCCCCATAAAACAAACTGATATTTAAGAGGCTTAACAAAGGACGGTTAACAGAACGACCATTCCTTCACCCCGCTCACACTAAACCCCCAAATAACAAGATACCCCAACTGCAAACGTCCGAATTAATCGCGCTCGTGCGCTCCTACACATCCCTCCAGGATCATGTACTTTCCTCGAGGCAGTATATTGATCCACATCTACTACCACAACCCTTTTCCCTTGCCCAAATTGGCCTCCAGTATTTTTATCTTTTGACCTCGATTCCCATTCTACATATTCTAGGTCCCTCTCTTCCTCTGATTCCCACTCCTGGGACTGCATCTTGGCCTCTATGATAATCCGATTCACAATAGTATCCATCTACGCCTGGGCACGAGCCGAGCCGGCTCGAGCCCGGAGGTCGTTGTAACCGCGAAATACCGAAGGTACCCGGTGAGTGGAAATCTTCAAAATGCGTTGCAGTTCCACCCTTTCCGACATAACCAAACACGCCTACCAACACAAGAGGAGGAAACTGCACAAATTGATGAAATCACCGCTGTATCTCGCTATGTTGAAACCTACCATTTGCTCGGTTACGACAATTGTATCGTCCGATTTCGCAGCCGACTTTAGGTGGACGATGAAGGTTGAAATTGATTCTGTCCATTTCCACGTCTGTTTATATCTGTATCTTCCATATTTCTGCGTCTTTGATTTTTTCCATGACCTATACAGATATGTAGCGTACGCAGTTATCTATTTACTCTTGCAATTCTCGCGAGCCGGCTCGAGCCTCCTTTCGTAAAGCTCGAGCCGGCTCGTGCCCAGGCCTATATCCATCTTTCCTCGCCCTAATTCCAGCTCTTCTTTCTCGGTATCCATAGGATCAGTGTGGAGTAACTTAATACCAGTTATCACTCCGGTGATATTCAGGCCAACCTCATGCTTTAGGGCCACCAATTTCTTAAAGGGATAGGAATAGCAACAGGCGAGCGGAGAGATCCAAGTGTCCAATGAAGGAATTTGCGAATAGAGCGAGTTGGTCACAGCAGAGAGATGGGTAAGAAGAAGATATTCGAATGAGTAGTGAGTGCATGTATGTATTGTGTGAAGTGATGACTTTTGTTATCTGGAACAAGTAGGAATATGAACGAGATATAGGTATATACATGGATGAGCATACATCTAAAGGAGAAAGAGAAGGAGAAGCACATGTCCGTTGCAAGCCGTATAGCTAGGCGAAGTCACGATATGAGTGCGAGCAAGGTATGAAGCACGCAATATGTTGTTCAAGCCGCTGCGAGCCGTATGACTAGGCAGGAAGCACACATATGATGTGCAAGCCGAAGAAGACTGACATGTGGTATAGGAAGCAAGGCATGGGTGGAATGAATGGAATGTACTGCATTCATTCTAACAATGTACTGCATTCACTTTAACATTCCTCTTGTTCTTTAGTAACTTTTGATGCTATTGGAGACTGAACATGACTCATGTATACTGTCATCCCAATACTCAGAACTTCTTGCTTCGAAGCCACCAATTTCTCTTGTCCTTCAGTAACTTTTGATGCCATTGGAGACTGAACCTGTGTGTCAGACCCTTCCGAGTCGGACCGAGATTCAACAAGTTTTAGTGGAGCATTCTCTTTTCATCATCAGATTCTTGCCCCCTCTTATCTGCCAACATTGCTACCATTCTTCCTCATCAAGATCTTCTATATAACTATTCATCTGTTGCTCTTTCTCATCCTCTATTACTGGGTCCATTTCCAGCACTAGACCTAGCTCTTTATCTGATATATATTCAATATACGCCACTGTTTGGACATGGGAACCTTGGTTAACTCCAGAGTCAGATGAAGTTTCTTCTGTTTCCGTAACTAGACCTAGCTCTTCATCTGATATGTATTCAACATATGCAGTTGTTCGGATATAGGGATCTTAGCTATCTCTGAAATTAAACCCCTGAGTCGAAGTTGGAACAAACTTTTTCTCTAGTTGTTGGATAGCCTTCTCCTTTCGTCGGAGGAATCTGGTAGATTTCGCTATACCCTAACTACTTCTGGGAAGGTATAGGCTGCTTCAAGCTGGAATTCGATTATGAGTTTGGTAACGTCGTCTGCAAGTCCATCAATAAACTTAATAGCTAATATTGAAGAATACTCAGCTCCCAATACTTCAAATATCTCATTTGCCTTTCAATATATTTACCACTCGTAAGAGATCCTAGTCTCGAACCCGACCGCTCCTAGGGAGGAAGAGATCCTTGTGATAGATTATTCAAATTCCAGATTGCCGGTGATTTTTCTGCCCATTCATCAAAGCCATCTACTGGACAGGTGAACCATTGCGTCAGGACTCCAGCAGAAATCTCGAATGTAGTCCTTTTATCTGCC